ACAAATATATATATGTGTGTTGACTATTTACATTATTCGGACTATTGTCCTCATCTTTGTCGACATATTTATTACAATGTTTCAGCCGTTGTATGCTCCGGCCTTCTTCAGGTATTTAAGCCGTATCGTTATCTCTCTGCATATTACGTATGTAGATTTAAAAATTATTATTATTATTATTATTATAAATATTTTTTTAGTGGATAAATATGTTTAAGAAGACGCCCTGTTTTTATTTTATTTTAAACAGTATAAATTATGTCTAATACGCATACGAGTCTTAATGAAGGAAATGGACAGGCGAGTAGGCGTAATTCACACTATAAAAATATCTATATAATAAATGCGAATGTCAGTGTGTCACTGTGTCACGCTTTTCAGTTTTACTCCTAGAGGCAGTAGTCCAACATATCATATCATTTTGGAATCAGGACGATTCCGTGAACAAATTAAAAACATTCTGGACCGGATCAGGACGAGCAATCGTGCAATTTTGAATTCCAAATTATTTATTACTGTGATTGTTTTCGGATTCTGCCATCTTGGCTCCTACTGATCAAACGCTTAAAGGGACACAACTCTCCTCGAGGTTCCAACGTAAAAAAAATTTCAAATTACAGTGTTTCAAAATAAAATTGTCCTCCGTGTTTTCAGCTTTACTCCTGGAGGCCGTAGCCCAACATACCATAAGATTTTGGAATAAAGCCGACTCCGTGAGCAAATTAAAAACATTCCAAATCAGATCCGGACTCATAATCCTGAAATTTTGGATTTCCAAGTTTTCATTTTCGCGATTGTTTTCGGCGATTTTTTACGTGATTTTTGTGACGATTTTTTTTTTTTTTTTTTTTTTTTGCACGATAACAATTTTTATCACTTGGAAATAAATTTCGGAATAATCGAGAGACCTCCGCAGTGACTAGCTTAAATGTCGCCCGATAGGGTGACTTTTAAACTAGTAAAAAAAATAAAAAAATAAAAACAGGGAGTCTACTCAAACATGTGTACCCAGTAAAAATAACGTTTACAACAATAAAAAATACACACACACACACACACACACACACACACACACACACACACATGTAGTTCACTGCTATCAGCAAGCAGAAATATAAGAAAGAAACGAAAACAAGGAAACAAATGGAAAAAAAAGAAAGTAAAAAGAAAGAATGAAAAAAATAAAGAAAGACGGGAAAAGAAAATCAGAAAATGATTGTCATTGATAAATGAAAGAAAATGAAAAGAAGGAAACGCAATAAATGATAAGAAAAAGAAAGAAAAGAAAAGAAAAGAAAGAAAGAAAGAAAGGATGGAATAACGAAAGAAAGAAAGAAAGAAAGAAAGAAAGAAAGAAAGGACAAGAAAGCGAATTTGAAAGAGCATAACAATTAAAAGGAAGAAAGAAGACACTTTGAAGCTAAGCAAGAAAAGATGGTGGGGAAAAAAGGAGGAAATAATTGTAATTGTGTCTTTTCGTTTTTGTTTTTATTTCTTGTTCTGTCGGCGAAAAGCAAACATTGGATTAGTGTTTCGTAGCGTCCTTCCTGAAGCGGGAGATATCACTTACAATTTTATTGCCTTCTTCTAATTAACTCAATTAGAAATTGCGTGGTTGGGTCAGACAAGAGAATCGAAAGAAAGTCTTAACAGCTAGGACACCCGACATTACATTGACACACACACACACACACAAATACTTACACACACATGCACATACGGAATGTAGGAGTCAAAGTAAACTGGATCAAAGGGAAAAGAAAGAAGGAAAGAAAGTACATATAACGAAAATGGAAAAGAAGGAAGGAATAAAGAAAGAAAATTAAATGAAATTTGCATGAAAAATAAGGGAGTAAGCTACAATAAAAAAAGAAGGAAAGAAAAAAAGAAAAGGTAAAGAAGAAAGGACGTTAATAAAAAGAGAAAAAACAAAGAATAAAAAAGAGAAAGAAAACAGTAAATAGGAAGAAAGGAAGTATGAGGAAGAGAAGGAGATAGAAATGAAGATGGAAGAAAGAAGGAAAGAAAGAAGAAAGAGAGGAAGAAGAAAAAGGACGAAAAGTTTGTATAAAAATGAGAAGAAAGGACAACTGAAAAAAGAAAGGAAGAAAATCTAAAAAAATTAGGAAGTGACAGCGAAAAAGATAAAATAGAAAAGAAAGAAAGAAAGAAAGAAAGAAAGAAAGAAAGAAAGAAAGAAATATTAGGTTAGTGCAAAAATAATGACATAATAATGTCGTTTATGGGCGTATTTTTTAACGTCAAAAAACGACATCATTACGTCATTATTTTTGCACCGACCTAATAGAAAAGAAAGAAAGAAAGAAAGAAATAGAAAAGAAAGAAAGAAAAAAGAAAGAAAGAAAAAAAGAAAGAAAGAAAAAAAGAAAGAAATAGAAAAGAAAGAAATAGAAAAGAAAGAAAGAAAGAAAGAAAGAAAGAAAGAAAGAAATAGAAAAGAAAGAAAGCAAGAAATAGAAAAGAAAGAAAAAAGAAATAGAAAAGGAAGAAAGAAAGGTAGAAAGAAAGAAAGAAAGAAAGAAAGAAAGAAAAAAGAAAGAAATAAAAAAGAAAGAAAGTAAGCAAGAAATAGAAAAGAAAGAAAGAAAGAAAGCAAGAAATAGAAAAGAAAGAAAGAAAGAAATAGAAAAGAAAGAAAGAAAATAAAAGAAAGCGAATTTAAAGCACAGTCGGAGATAAAAGTGAAGAAGAAAGAAAGGAAAATAAAGAAAGAAAAATAAAGCCATATACAAGAGAAAATGATAACGAAAAAGAAAGAAAGTAAAAAAAAAGAAAGAAAGGATTCGAAAAGAAAGAAAAAAAGAAGCTAGGTATCATTAAATCGACAAGAGTAATAAAAAAAAGCATGTGAGAAAAAAAGGGGAGATCGAGTGAAAGACTGGGAAAATAATCTGCCATTTTATGCACTTGAATCCCAATGGCATGGAGAGTTCTCATTTCAACACCTCACGTGATGGTGGTCGAAGTAATTATGGCCACTCAAACAGCAGGGAGCAGTTTGGATGGGAGATCTCCTTTCGAAAAAGAAGGCGCTCATGTTGACGATGTCTTTACATGAGTCGGAGAGGTTCGCCAACTGCTTGGACGTCAACTAGGCTAGTTGACGTAGAAGAAGTTGTGTAGCGTCAGAATAAAAAAAAATATAAAGAAAAGAAAGAATATTATTTTTAATCAATACACCTCAAGCAAGACGAGAAAGCCGCTACGACACGAACGGCTCCTGGGTGTAAACGAATAAGAAAAAACATTATTATGGAACGAGAAGATTAAAAAAAGAGTAATCGATAACGATTGTCACTGCATTTAAATCCTTGAAGATCAAAGTTAGCTAGAAAACAAGAAGCCGGAAGAGAGTTCCACAAGCGAGAAGTGGGGGGAAAAAAGAAACTGTTAGCATAGAACTTACGGTTACATCCAGCCAACTCAATTGTAAATTGATGAAACCTTCTTACCACCATAATGGGTGTTCCAAAACTCTCATTACAATTGATAACCTTGTAAATTGTATATTTCTTTACCAAATGGAATCATGTTTCTTTATGAGACAAGAATTTTTATTGGTTTAATTATGGAAGATGATGTCAAGCAAATTTTTCCTGGTTTCTATTTCACAAGTGTATGTTTTCTGCCAATTGTTGCGTGACCGTTGCTTAAATTCATAAAGTCTACGTATGATAGAGGAAAGTCCATAAAAACCATATCTCTGCCTTTCTTTCTTTCTTTCTTTCTTTCTATTTTTCTTACTTTATTTTTTCTTTCTTTCTATGTTTTTTATTTATTTATTTATTTATTTATTTCTATTATTCTTTCTTTCGTTTTTCATTCTGTTTTCCTTTCTTTCAGTGTTTTTTTCTTTCTTTCTTTCTTTCTTTCTTTCTTTCTTTCTTTCATTCTTTCTTTCTTTCTATTTTTCT